GATGAGTATGATGAATTGTTGGTTGACTATCTCGACACAATTGGTAAATCCCCCTCCCTCCTTATCTGCAGTTTTCCTTGTTTGCAGTATTTCCTAGGACTAGGTTGCTAACATGTTTCAAGACCCGGAGATCCAGACCCTTTCCACACTCACAAACGTCCAGAATTCACTCTTCATTCCCGATCTTGGCAGTTGGGTCAATCGTCGGCCAACTTACAACTTATCCCAGCATGACATTGACCCACGACTGCCGAGACCTGTAACCGCCTCGGAACCGCCTGGGATTCTTCCAGGGGAAAGGGTTGAGCCTACTGACATGGCCGAAGACCAAGGACCTCCTCAATTGGACCGCTCAAACACCATCTCATCGCGACTCACGGATTCACACTACGCCGCTCTCCCGCACGGCGCCAGCTTAGAAGGATGGACTGAGGACGAGAAGTGGGAACTGGACGATCATGTCCGCCATATGCTTCACTCACGGCGTTCGAGACTCAAGCGTTCTATGAAGGGCTTTGGCCAGTACGTAAGACGCCCGCTCGGGTTCTTTGTCACCCTGTACGCGACACTCATCACCCTCTTTGGTCTGGCCTGGGTATTGTTCCTGATTGGGTGGATCTACGTTGGTGACAAGCAACTATATGTCATCCATATCATCGACAGCGTACTTGTCGCACTTTTCGCCGTCATGGGTGACGGACTGGCTCCATTTAGAGCTATTGATACTTACCATATGATCTACATTGTCCATTACGCGCGCATCGTTAAGAAAGCGCAGAACAAAGGTCGACCTAAGCCTAAACGCAAGTGGTGGTGGCAGAAGAGCCAGCCTGAGCAGCAGCCTCAGGATGCAGTGCCCGATTCCACCACAGCCCAGCTTCCGGAGGTGACGAGCCCCGAGACGGTCGATTCGCGAGACTCGGATGACAAGAGCGAGCAGGATCCCCACACCCGGAGAAACAACATTGTTGACGTTGACGTCGAGGACGCCAGGTCAGGGATTGAGGTGTACGAGGATACGCCGCTGACGTACGCCCAGCAGCAGAAGCTGTATCACCACCAGACGAAGCTGGCCAAGTCCCACAGCTTCTACAAACCCAACGAGACGAACACGCACTACGCCTTCCCGATCGACTATCTCATCGCCATCGTCATCCTTCTCGACTGCCATTCGTGTTTGCAGATCTCGCTGGGAGCCTGTACTTGGGGCATAGACTATCATGTTAGACCGATTGCCATCACCACGGTGATCCTCTGCGTCAGCATAACCTGCAACATCACCGCGGGGCTCATCATCACCATCGGAGACCGCAAGACGCGCAAGAAGGAGGTCTGGAAGCTCATGAACCGCCAGGAGCTGACAGGAGACGCGATGAAGCACATTGAGCAGAAGAGGACGAGCGGGCAGCTGTCCCCCGAAAAGAGCACGGGGTCAGACTCGGATAAGGAGCGTCTGTCCCAGAAGGCGAAGCGGTTCGTCTCGCTCATCGTCGAGGAGCCGGAGAAGGAGAAGGAGATGGAGAAGGAGGCGGAGAAGCCGAAAGAAAACGGTGGTTCCAAGCAGCCCCAGCGGGTGGCGTAACGATGTCTCGATGTGACGGGAAAGCAAGGCGTCCAGGAAGCATGATGATTAATGTTTTTCTGTTGGAAAAAATTCCTTTTACTCTTTTATTCCCCCATCACTTACGTTGATGTATTCGGTCGCTCTGAGCGTTTTAATATTGGATGACTGTTTTGGACAATACACATAGGATAGTTGACGTAGTTTTAATAAGTGTCCGGAGGCAATGGGTCAGTACAACACCCTATAGATACCTTTGAGACACTTTTTGTTCTGGAAATCATGTTCACTCATTCCTATGTTCACCTATATACACTCCCAACCAGATAATCGACACTGAAATGCAACAATAGAAAAGCAAAACCTAAGACACCAGGGAGTTGACATAGTTCTCCAGGTTCGTGTACCCATTAGATGCAACAGCCATGCCGTCCGCCTTGTCATTAGGGTTGAGCCCGTTGGCCGACTCCCACGCGTCCGGAATACCGTCGCCGTCCGTGTCCGTCGGTGACGTACCGCCGCTGATGGAACCCGGACCACCCATGGATGCCTCGTCGGAGATGAGGGCGCCCTTGGTGCCGTACGAGCGGACCTGGTCGACAAGGGCGGCGTCGACGGCGTCGCGGGTGGGGAAGGTGGTCCCCGCGGAGTTGAGGACGACGGGGACGGCCTCGGTGGCGGTGTAGACCTTTGAGGGGCCGGCGTAGTTGTAGGGGGAGGACTGGAAGTCGATGCTGGAGTAGCAGGTGTCCTTCTCGCAGAGGGCGGAGCCGTCGAGGGCGCCGTTTCTGTTGGAGTCGTAGAAGTTGTCCTTGACGTCTGGGTTTTTGGCATGTTAACATTTTTACTGACGAAAGTGGGGGAAAGGGGGAGAAGGGTTACTTACAGGCGTGGAAGTTGGCGTTGCCGCGGGTAAAGGCAGTGACGGAGGTCGAAGGGCCGGAGATGAAGTAGTTGTTGATGATGTTGGCGTAGCTCTGGCCGTCGCTGTCGCCGGCGATGTAGCCACCGCCACCACCCCAGTTGTAAACGACCTGGATGATCTAGTATTAGTTTATGCGTTCCTGTATATTTTGGTGTCTGGATGCTTACGTTGTTCTGGAAGTCATTGACACCCTTGACCTTGGGGTTCCTGGTCTTGTTGTCAATGTAGAGGTTCCTGAAGAGACTGATGCCGCCGTCGGTCTGCATGAGGCCACCGCAGGAGTGCGTCTCAAGACCCTGCGCGATGATGGAGTTCTGGATAGTGATGTCCTCGGCGTCGCCGTTGATGGAGAAGGTCTCGTCACGGCCCCACGAGACGCTGACATGGTCGAAGATCATGCGGGCGCCTGAGGCGATGGTGATGGCATCCTTGCCCGAGGTGCCGCCCTTGCCCATGCGGATGCGGATGTAGCGGACGATGGAGTCGTTGGCATCGGACCAGGACCAGCCATCGCCGTAGACGGTGATGCCCTGAGAGTTTGTGAGTTTTAGGCCGGAGGTTTCATAAAGGTGAGGAGATACATACACCTCCGGGCGCAGTCTGGCCGGCAATATAGACGCCGGACTTGACGACAATCCGGGAGGAGATGTTGATGACGCCTCCAACAGTGAAGACGACGATGCGGTTGGACTGCGAGACGGCATCACGGAGCGACCCCGTTCCGGAATCACTAAGTTTTTGTTGTTAGCCATCTATAACCTCCGGCAACACAGCAACACAGCACCGTTCATCCAATGGAAGTTTCTTACTTGAGATTCGTCACCTTGTAGACCGAACCTGTGCGCCCGCCCTTTGCATAGCGGCCGAGACCCTCGGCGCCGGGGAAGGCAAGCTGCTGGCCGGCAACAGCGTTGAGCAGGAGCGCGAAGATGGGTAGCGACAGTTTCATGGTGGGTATCGGTCTCACAAGAGTCTCGGGTGGTGACTTGAGGACCGGGGAAGGGGGTTCCCGTCGCCGCCATTCTCTCTTATATACCAAGCCTCGACCCTAGGAGAAAAGGTTCCCAAAAGAATGCGTTCCAGTTGAAGCTCCGTGGTTTTTACCAATGTGGAAGGATCCCAGTCTTGGTATTGCGGGTAAATGCATTGGGCTTGTTTCGGGGATCCTTGTGTTTCGTGGGATTTCCGACCCGATTGGTGGAAGGGGGGTCATGGAGCTGGGCAGGGATGTGCTTGTTTGGGGGAACTGAGATGCGAAACGAACGACCGAGGGTCTGGATTTGAGAGACGGGACGGTCTGATTTGTCCTCCAAGAGGATTGCAAGGGATATAATGAGACGCTTAAAAAATCCGTCGGGATGCATAGCTTTATAAAGCAAGCTGGCAGGGTTGAGGTGGTTGTGATCTCCTGCTCCCACCACCGAGAGGGAAAACAAACGGTGCGTACATTGATAAAGAAGGCGAGATGTAGACTCAACAGTACGATATTGGGCAGTAACTGGACAAGGGTAGGTGAGTTTTCAATCTTGTTATTGAGGGGCTTCTCTGGACTGTCCAACTTGAACCCAAGCGTAAGTCCTGACCCATGCTGCAGGGCTGTTGGCTGCCCGAGACCATCTGCGGGCACGCGTCCAGCCTGTTTTATCATAGAATCAGGCAGCTATACTGGTTCGCCTGCTGCTGGCCGGTGGCGATGTGCCAATGGCAATGCAATCAGTGACACCGTGACACCCGGCGGCTCGGAGGTCGGCTGGATAAGACTAAATAAAACAGAAGATGGGTGTGAGTGGAACAAAGCTGTGAGACACAGACTGCCCAATGGCTTCTCCAGCTTGGTTATACAGTTCTCTCTCTCCTCTTGTTGTCTTCTCTCCATCTGAGGAGCCCGAGTTTCTCCTCTCCCGGATAGGCTGGGAGTTGCTCACCCAAGGACGAACTCGAGGGTTGCTACGCAAACAAATTTAGCCAGTTATGTAAACGAAAACCAAAATATGTTCAAGTCTCGCGTGAAAAAGAAAAGAAAGACAGGCAATTTAACAGACAGGGGATGCCAGTGCGTGAGGTCTGTACCAGTGGATGCGTTTAAGCATTGTTGCCGTGACACAAGAATCTCGACGGGCATTAGGGCAGGCAGCAGGCATACTTGCATCCGCGAGCGGGACTATCGATGGCATGAGAAAGCCACGGCCCTCTTTATGTGGGAGCAGAGGCCCTATATCAAGTTGAGCTGGCCCTTCTCCCCCAGGCTGCCCAGTATCAGAAGATTTCATCCCACCTTCTTGCTCTGAATAGATCAGTCTTGACGAAGAACATCACTACAACAAAGGTAAGGAAGATACCTACCTACGTCTTTACGTACACATCTATTAACGCTGTTATGTCCCAGCTAAGCACAGCCAGTACCCAAAAAGAGACCCAAAGAGAACGGGGTTTCCCAAAAAGAACGAAAGGACCGACTCGAAAAGACAAAGAAAAAGGCAGCGAAACAAAACGAAACAGGACGAGACCTCAGCCATGTGCAACTGGAACACTTACACATTCGACTGTGGCTGCATGTCGATGGATCTGCGATCGCGATGCCAGCGCAAGCTCGCCGACGACGAGCTGGACCCGTGCTTCTGGATGCAGCGCGTCAGCGACAAGTGGAGATTCCACCAGCAGAGGATGTGCGACGCCTGCAACTACCGGCTGATGCACGGCGAGTACGTGCCGATGAGGAAGCAGGCCAGATGGAGCGAGATTGGGGCGAGGGCGCATGAGATTGCGCGGCTCATGGCGAGGGCTAGACAGCTGGGCTGATGGGCTGACATGTTTTTTCCCGATCTCATAGCAATGGCTTTAAACTTGATTTCTGGAAATTGGCTACGAGAAAAGGGAGAAGATGATGAGTGTCTGGTATTGGGGATGCAAAAGGAAGAAAAATCGGTGGTCGTCTAGCGAGGAAGTGAGGTATCCCAGCAGTCGAGGACCAAGTCAGACACAATTCAATTAGGTAGTTACAATTGAATCCTCGCCCTACAGCCCTACAGGCAATGCAACGGAAACACTGTTGCTGCGACCTACTTCTCGGTGGGCTGTCGGATAATAAGAGAGGAGCCAAATGGGTGACAGGAGAAATGAGACCCCCAGTGGAAGAGTGGTTCTATTTTCGAAGATTAATCAAGAATTTCAGTGGTATAAAACGAAAGAAAATAATGTTTGCCGTATTATCTCTCAAGTATGTATTATTGGCACCAATAATTTGATAACACCGGTCGCAGACCGGAGAACAAGCAGCTTAATGCTCGAGTATCTCAATTTCAATGTCATCCACTTGGAGCGCACATGTAAAGAGACACGCGACTGCGGATGCAACTGTGGATACAATCTGATGGAGTGAACGAGAATACGTAGCTCCAGGACTATTTAGCAATAGCCTGTCGCAAACTGCCTATCAGCCAGCCAGGCAAAAAGTAAGACTCTCTTTTCTCTCCATTGGAATCGCAGAGTCTGTAATCGATAAGTGCCTCGTCAAACTGCCCGGTGAGGTCACTGTTACCTGTTACCGACGTCTCGCTAGCAGGGGCCCCCCCCTATTAAAGACCCCTAAAAAGATCCTGCCACGCGGCTTTACGCCTGTGCGATTTGTGACTGTTGGCTGCATCGCGTAACTGTCCTCGCAGCTGGCCGTAGAACAAGACCACGAACAGGCACTCGAGCAAGAACTATCTGGAGCTGAATCCTGGCAATACGACCTCGTCCATACACTCTTGACACATGTCTGGCAGAAGCAGGCCCCTGATCAAGAGCAGCCGCAGCACTCGATGGCCCCCCACTCGCCCCTCTAAGTCTAGCGCATTGGCCAGTTGCGACTTGGCACAGCGGAATAATTCTGGGTACAAGGGGAAAACACCATCGCTGGCAGCCATTGACCCCTTCATAGGCCTGGCATCTGGTCCTCGATTCATCCCCTCCTGCCTCCATCGTCACTCCTTCCTTTGCCATATTCTCTCTTAAATTTGCGATTTTCAATTGCGTCTCCGCCCCTTATATACTCCCTCCTACCAGTCTAATCTCGACATACGTCTTCCATTCCGCTTCGTGGCCTGTCGCCGTCCTCACCCCTTGTCCGCCGCAAGCCATAGCGGGCTTCCATCATGGCGTTAGGGAGGACGAGATGGCTCGTCGTGGCCCTCGCCATCGTCACCACCTTCTACGTATTTCACAGCTCCCTCCTAAACTTCAACTTTAGCTCTGGGTCCCATGGCCTGCCGAAGCCCCTCGCCCCCGTCCCAATACCAGAGCCGGACAAGACCTATCTCTGGCGCAAAGTCGAATACCACAACCCCGTCGAGTCCTATCGACCGCTCCCCGAACCACCAATCGCTTCCTTGCCTCGTGTCCAGGCCAAGTTCTATACTGGTGGATCCAGCCAGGAGAGCCGTCGAAATGCCATCAAGGATGCGTTTGTCAGTGCCTGGTCGACATACAAGCACCATGCGTGGTTGCGCGATGAGGTCACGCCTGTCACCGGCAAGCAAAAGGATACATTCGGCGGATGGGGTGCCACTCTGGTCGACTCCCTCGACACTCTTTGGATCATGGGTTTCGTCGACGAGTTCAACCAGGCCGTTGACGCCATCGATCGCGAGATCACCTTTGAGAGTACCAACTTGAAGGAGGTCAACATCTTCGAGACCAACATCCGATTCCTCGGCGGACTCCTCTCTGCCTACGACCTCAGCGCCGACCCACGCCTGATTAAGAAGGCCCGCGACGTTGGTGATATGTTGTACAAGGCCTTCGACACCCCCAAGCACTTGCCCATCGCCCGCTGGAACCTGAAGGCTGCCGCCCAGGGGACGAAGCAGGACGATTCCTTCTTACTTGTTTCCGAGTTGGGCTCTCTGTTCCTGGAGTTTACCCGACTAAGCCTTTTGACCAATGATCCCAAATACTACGACGCTATCCAGCGCATCACCGATATGTTTGCTGAGGCGCAGATGACCACCAAGATCCCGGGTCTATTGGCTCACGGCACCTCGCCTGCCGAGGGCAAGGTAGACATCGCCAAGGACTACTCTCTTGGTGCCGCGTCCGACAGCTTGTACGAATATCTGATCAAGATGACTGCTTTGTTGGGCAACACCCAAGGCGTCTACGGTGATATGTATGGCAAGAGCGTCGAGGCCATCATGAAACACCTTATCTACCGGCCCATGACCCCCAACGGTGACGATATCCTCTTCTCGGGGTCTGCCCAGTCGGTCAAGAACAAGAAGGACGGTTCCCCAGAGATTAGGCTCGACACCACCGCCACTCATACGGCATGCTCGGCGGGTGGTATGTTCGCCCTCGGCGGGCGCTTGCTGGCGAACGAGTCCCACGTCGATACCGGTGCCAAGCTCACTACCGGGTGCGCCTGGGCCTACCATAGCATGATCTCGGGCGTGATGCCCGAGTCACTCTACTTCAGGTCCTGCCCTTCCCTGGAACCCTGTCTCTGGGATGACTCTAAGTGGCACGAGGGTATTATCAAGCAGACGTCCAGCAGAGACGTGAAGAAGACTATCCTGGAAGAGCGTCTTCCCAAGGGCATCACGCGCATCACGGACCCTCGCTACCTCCTCCGCCCTGAAGCTATTGAGAGTGTATTCGTCTTGTTCCGCACCACCGGCAACTCGCAATGGCGGGACGTGGCCTGGGATATGTGGCAGGCCATCGATAAGCTGACCAAGACTAAGCTGGCAAACAGCGCAGTGCGCGATGTCAACCCTAAGGAGGAGAAGACCCCCCAGGAGCTTGAGGAGGAAAAGAAGGAGGGCAAGACCACCGACAAGGACAGCGAGACCGACAAGGAAGCGGCGGGCAAGCTGGACTCGATGGACAGCTATTGGACGGCAGAGACGCTCAAGTACTTTTACTTGATCTTCTCCGAGTCTAGCCTCGTCAGCTTGGACGACTGGGTGTTTAATACGGAAGGACACCCCTTGAGAAGGGCGCAGGCACATGCGTGAAAAGAAACGAAAATACTAAGTTATGTTTTTGTATAAATTACATTTTCAACAAAAAAAGGCGACATAGCCACGAACAAAGTCCTATACGAAATTGACGCTTGGAGTCTTGTATGTTTGCTTCTTCAGCAGGTTATTGGTGGTCATAAACATATGGTTTGACGGTTGGTTCCGAACTGTGGATATACAGGAGAGTTATATTATGAATTATCAAAATTGGTTAATACACACTCGAAAGGAAAGGCACGCTTTGTTGTTTCTAAGTATCCGTTCGTATTTGCTGACATTAGGTAAGTCCCCCCCCCTTTTCATTAAACATATACCCCGACTATCGTTCGTGTTTACACATTAATAGTCAGTGCTGCGGATGACATCCTTCCACTCTTCCAAGATACCCTCGGTCTGCTTGATCTTGCCGCGGATAGTCTCCTCGCAGTCCGTCCCCAGCACGATCCTCACGGGCAGCTTCTTCCCCTCGGCGACACCAGTACCCGTCAGGATGTCCACGATGGTCTTGCCCCCCTTGACGACGTCGCCGGGCTGGTTGCCGTCCGTGGTCAGCAGCGCGGCGCGGACCTGACCGGCGGCCGACGACGGGTCCTCGTAGGCGGGCAGGCGCTCCTTGGATGTGACCTTGGCGCCCGGGTTGAGGAACCCCGTGCGGAAGTAGCCCGGCTCGACGACGGTGGCGCGGATGCCGTAGCTGGCGACCTCGGCGGCGAGGGACTCCATGAGCGCGGAGCAGGACCACTTGGTCATGGCGTAGACGCCGTACGTGGGGCCCCCGATCCAGCTGCCCAGGCTGCCAAAGGCGACGAGGGTGGCCCTGATTCCTTCGACGTTCGGCAGCTGGGCGCGCAGGTGGGGGAGGAACGCCTTGATGGTGGCGACGGCGCCAAAGACGTTTGTGTTGAAGGCGTCGAAGATCTCCTGCGGGGTGGCCTCCTCGATGGCGGCGTCGAGGATGTACCCCGCGGCGTTGATGAGGTAGTCGACGCGGCCGAAGCGGGCGACCACGTCGTCGGCCACGGCACGGAGGGTGGCCGGGTCGGCGGTGACGTCGAGGGCGAGGGTGTGGGCGCCGGCGTCGCGGAGGTGGGCGATGCGGTCTGCGTTGCGGGCGGTGGCGACGACGGTGTGCCCGCGCTGGAGGGCCTGGAGCGCGATCTCGCGGCCGAAGCCGGAGGAGGCGGCGGTGATGAACCAGACTGGGGTGGTCATGATGTCTTGTAAGCGTGTAAGCGTGTAAGTGGCAAGGTGGTGATGGATCTGGTGATGAAGTAGGTAGACCGGATTTTTGAAATTTTGAAGAAGGAACAGTCAAGAGTATTCAATTGATGCAGATGATTGTATTTCATATTCATTTTGTCTAATTATTGCCTTTCTTTATATACTTTTTCTCTTGGTTGAGGTTCCGGCCAGTGTAAGCTTAAGTCCGAGGGAGCTCTTGTGGATTTGGAGTTTACGGACGTGGTAATAAAAACTGGGCCAGTTGACCATAAGTGGGCTGCATTAGAGCGTAAGCGCCCTGCATAGGATGGATCTCTGTATCGTCCGAGCACCTTTATTTAGGGCTGGCAGTCTGGGGGGCATTTGGGTGGTGGAATGTGACGTGAAGCCGGAGATGACGTCGAAGCTTGATCTCGAAGCGAGCCTCGTCCACCGTAAATGGTCAGTCCGAGCACCGGAAAATCCGAAGCAGTGGGAATGTAACCATGATTAACAAGCGGTCCAGCATGCATTGCAGACAGAAAAGCTTGAGTCTGGGAGAAAAGCGGTTTCCCTCAACCTCGGTCACATTCTAGCTGAGGCATAGCAACTCAGACACTGGGAATGACCCCTCACTATCCAACTACAGATGAATGTCTCCTCTCCTCTCAAATCAACACCTCCACGCTTGTCCTGCTTCGAATGAGAAACTGCTCTCTTATCCGGCAAAATACACATCCCCTCTCGTGCCCAATCAGCCTAGCCATGGGCTCTATCATGCTGGGCGGCCCCTGGATAGGAAGGTAGCGGTGATAATCAAGCAGGACAATTGCATGGGCCATCTCCATCCCCCTCACTGGCCGCTCTTGCTTCTGAGCGATCCCAAGTCTGCTCCGTCCTCTCCCCGCGTGTTTCATCGCCAAAGGAGACCAATTCAATAGGAAAAAACATTCCGTCGCCCACAATGATCGTCCAGAAACTCCTCCCCCTCGCATTGGCGCACACAGCAGCCCTCGTCGCGGCCGCCGCCCCCTCCTCCAAAGCCTTCCCCTTCGTCATCAACACCTGGGGCGGCCCCTTCACCGCCGCCACGGACGCGGCCTTCCTCGCGCTGCACACGTCAAACGGCTCTACTTCCGCCCTGGACGCCGTCGAGATCGGCTGCACCACCTGCGAGGACAACCAGTGCGACGGCAGCGTCGGCTTCGGCGGCTCGCCCGACGAGAGCTGCGAGACCACCCTCGACGCCATGATCATGGACGGCACCACCATGAAGTCGGGCGCCGTCGCCGCCCTCCGCCGCGTCAAGCACGCCGCCTCCGTCGCCCGCGCCGTCCTCGAGCACACCTCCCACACTTTACTCGCCGGCGACCAGGCCACCGCCTTTGCCGTCCAGAACGGCTTTGTGGAGGAGGACCTCACCACCCCGGCCTCTCTAGAGAAATGCGCGTCCTGGCGCGCCGCAAGCTGCCAGCCCAACTACCGCCTCAACGTCCTCCCGGACCCCGAGGCCTCGTGTGGCCCCTACGTACCCCTACGACAGCTCGCAACGAGGATCGACACCCGCCAGGCCTCCCACGACACAATCTCCCTCATCGCCATCCACCGGGACGGCTCCATGGCGGCGGGGACGTCCACCAACGGCGCCTCGCACAAGGTCCCCGGCCGCGTCGGCGACGGGCCCATCACTGGCTCGGGATCCTACGTCGACGGCGACGTGGGCGGCTGCGGCGCCACGGGGGACGGCGACATCATGATGCGCTTCCTGCCGTGCTACCAGGCCGTCGAGAACCTGCGGCGGGGCATGGCGCCGAAGGAGGCGGCGGAGGATGCCGTGCGGCGCATGGTGGCCAAGTACCCCGAGGTGTCGAGCGGCATCGTCGTCGTCGACAAGGAGGGGAACCACGGCGGCGCCGCCAGCGGATGGACGTTTACGTACGCCTACCGCGGAGGTGGCATGAAGGAGACCGTGGTTGTTTCGGTCGAGCCTGTTGAGAATTTGCTTGGGGAGCTGTAATCGGCCCTGATATGCATTGTATTTCACCTCATCCGACATCACAATGTTTGTGAACGTGCCCCAATGCTAAGACAGCCATCATGAAACTGGCCTAATAGAAGTCAAGTGTTTGTATTCAAAATCTTGCTGCTATCTAGTGACTGTAGAAAAATCTCATCAAAATTTGAAGAGAATAAACTGAGATACTCCTGTAAGTTGAACGTAAATCTTCTTCTCATCTAAACTGTCATGACCCAACCTGGGTCGAAACGCCAATAATGCAAGAAGGATGGAGGTAAATATATCCAATAACCACCCATCTGTAGATCCCTTTCCTAATTTCTGTGTGATAAAAGCCCCGGTGAGATAATGTCTCGATGCAAAATATATGTAAGCCAAGAAGGTATTGTCAAGGCCAGAGCGCTAAAACAAGTGCGAAAAATGGGAGGCGGAGAGCTGGAAAAGACAAAATCGCAAATACAGATGATGATTGAGCGCCATGTCGATGGCCATATCACACGTGGACCTCGCTTCTGTTCTTGTCCTTGAACAAGGCTTTGAGCATATTGCTGCCCTGTCTGTGGATCTTGGGCCGGAAATCAAGATCGTCGTCGCCTCTTTGGCTGCGCCCATCCTCAATGAGCCTGGGAGTAGATCGTTGTCTTCTGGTGCTGGACGTCTTGCTGCTACGCTCGCTGCCAGCGACACTTTCGGCTGTGTGATGCCTGGTACTTCTGCGGTCAGAGTCATCCTCGCGCCTCGACCTTGAGGTCTTGCTTGTCTTGCTTGTCTTGGCGGTCTTGGTGGTCCCAGTCGTTCGTGTACTTCGTCGGGACCGGACATCGAAGTCATCGTCCTTCATCGACTTTGACGCAACGGCTGTCGGAGTAATCAGCTCTAGATCGGCGCTCTCGTCATCGCCGTAAGCGGGAACACCCCGCATCCACGTCTCGATAGAGCTCAGCTCGTCATCTACAATAAGAGCTTCGTCCACACCAAAACTGTATTCACTCTGCGTCCTCATAGGCGCAGGGCGATCCATGGGCACACCCTCGTATGCCATCGCCTCCCTAGCGGCAGCTTGCTCCTTCACCCTCTTCACGATCTTCCAGCCACCAAACATAATGACGGTCAGGCCCACGACGGCGCCGGTACCAATCATGAACTGCGGCGAGGCCAATAGACCCCAGACGGCCGGGGAACCGCCCTTGAGCATAGCAAGAACCGCCGGGGAAGCCTTCTTAACAACCTTGGAAAGCTCGGCAAGCGTGCATGCCACCGCCGCAGCTGCATCTGGGTTCGTCTGCAGGTGTTCGATGGTTTTTACAGCCGAGTATTTCAGGCAGTCGGCTTCGACCAGAAGGCCCTCGACCCTCTTGGTCAGAGCCTTTGCTTGATACTCATCTCCATAAACCGGATCGAGATCATAACGTTCATGAAGGTCAGGCGGGAGCTCACCATAAGCGAGATTCATGTCAATCTCCTTGGGGGGAGCCCGGATCAACTGGCGGTCTTGATCATATAGGCTATGGCTACCGACCTCTTGACATGATGCCCGTCGAGTAAGAGCAGTCGGTGGCGGCCTGCGTTCTGATACTGCGAGGTCGCGCATCTGCGCGTTTGTCACGTCCATCTTGGACAATGCCATGGTCTCGGCGTAGGGCCGCTGGTAGGTCGAGGGAGGTGGCCTGCTGGGTGCTGTGGCAGAGACCTGGGTCATGGCCTTGAGGTTTTTCTCTGTCAGAGCTGACCCTCGGCTTGTGGTGCTACCGCCATACTGGCTCTCCTCGTCTTCACGGCGGTGTGTGCGCTTGGAGACTACGCTCCTCGACCGGCGGCTGGTTCTCCTGGAGCTTGCCTCGCTTCGTGCGTCATGACCTCGGTGGCTGCGTTCCTCGTGGTATGTATAATGGTGGTCGTCATCCTCCTCCTCTGCATAGTCATGGTGATGGTGGCGGCGGTGAAGGCTTCGGGTGCTTTGGTTGACGTTTTGGTCAAAGGTTGCCGCGCGGGTGAGCGCCCGATCCGATTTGACCTGCGACCTCTTGTCCTTGTAGGCCTCTTGCGCTTCCTTGAAGACTGAGAGGAGAGTTTTACCCTGCGACACAGGTTGGTTAGCTATTTGGAGGGGCGCAACGGGATGTGGTGAACAAGGAGCGGGGCCGTACCGTGCCAATAATCTTGTTTGAGTTGTTCAGAATGGTGACAGTCTGTTGGAGAGGCATCTTGCTTGCTACTCAGCTCAACGGCGAACCGATCGGCGCTGAGAAACAGTCCAAGGCGGGAGATATAAATGTCACAAGCCGGCCTGCAGCGTCTACAACAAAAATAACTCTGCGAGGGCACTGCGCGCACTGCAAAGCGTCCCCCCAGCGAGAACGGTTGGGGCCAAGCGAGCCAGAGTGACGGTGAGAAAACCGGCTGGCAGTCCACAGAGATCTGCTGCTAGTGCTGTTTAGTATAACTTCACAGTCCCCGCCAGCAGAAGGGGAGCAGGGTTATGTCCCTGTTGGAGGAACCCACAGTGAACTGATCAGTGATAATGCGATGGATGCGCAATGGGCTGACCCTTTTTTTCCCTTTTGCTAGCGAACTAGCTTATTGCAGCCGGGGTCAATTGGGGACCATATGGATTTTGTCGGTCAAGAAAGTAGGAGGTGGGAAGGATGGAGCCAAGTATCAAGGTGGTAGTAGGAACAGGGAGGGGACAGAAGGCGAGAGAATCGGGTATCTCGGTTCTCGAATATCAGCAGTACAGTCAACGGGAAGCTTGGGAAGGTGCGGCCATCTTATTCTTTCCTTGCTGGCAGGATGCGGCCTGAAGTAGTCTTATAAGTAGAAACAGGCACTTGGGGGCTAGTCAAATGCACACCTATCGCTGTCTTGACTGTGTGATGGCAGCCCAATCACCTCAGTTATCACACGCTGCAGAGAGCCCGCCCTGAGTCTGGCTCGATCCTCAAACATTCAGGCGGCACACCCTCCCTCCTTCCCAGGCCCAGGCGACACGCCGAGGTCGTCGTCACCGTTCCAGCCACTGAGGCAACCCGCCGTACAGGGCACCCGGACTGCCTGTAGCCAGCGGGTACGTACCGCCTCGCTGCCACGGTGGAGCGACGGCCTGCCTCCTCCCGCTCCCTGCTGCTCCCTCTGCCTCCTGCTGTTGAGGCCCAGAGAGACCATCCCACTCTGCCTCAGATCCCGATTGGACGCTGGAAGTCAGTTTCCTCCCCCGTTAGGCGCTTGCGCATGGCCAGCTTGTGACTGGACGCCAGACTGACAAGTGGTACCTGCGACACCCTATGAAAATTCGCGGGGCTGGCAAGTACCCACGGCTAACTCAGACGGTCGGCGACAAGGCAGGACTACTGCGAATCCCCGTAGTCTTGCCCAGTTCTCTCTCGATGCCCTGCATGAAGGTCACGACGGTTGTCTTGTCAAACGCCCAGGCCGGTTGGGCACCCACTGGAGCTAAGGTGAGCCAAGCGCACCCAAACCGCTCTCCCGCGTCTCCCCGGTCTCGCTCGCTTGGTCATCGTCGGTGGCTGACGAGGTGAGTCTGCGCGAGAGCCTGACGAGCTCCGGGGTGGAGGAATCGGCGAGATTCTGGGAGTGGAAAGACACCACCAAAGTCCCACGGTATTGGACGGCGAGGGAGGGGGAGGGGCTTGAACCAAAGCGGATCAGCTGGACAGGTATCTCAGCGTCGTCCGCATGCCCACTCCAGGTCTTTCATCAGCTTGGCATGCCCATTCTTCGTTATCTGTGAATGGACGGCTGGGTGGATGCCCTCACCAGTGGCGACCCAGTACCGCCAGCATGCATTTCTGGTCATGACTGATTTGATCGCCTCTCGTCTCTGCACATGTGCTATGCACGCATCGAGTAAAGGCTTAGTCCGTCTGATCGTCTCGACCTTCATTGCGGGTACCTACACGCGCGTTATCGCCTTCACGCGCGGCGCAGGCTACGGGTCCGATGTTCAGCGTGTCTAAGCAAGAAAAGCACCCGGATTTGTATGAAAATGGATGTCCTGATCCAATGGAGTGGTGGTTTGATCATCGCCAACGCATACATCCGCACACGCCGGCTCACCATCCGCCACCACCCAGTCCCTACCTCCGAACAACCTACTTCCTGGTCGGACCCTCCAATTGTGGCTTTTGTAAATCACCCCGGCCGTAATACTCAATCATTATGAAGCGATGCTATGGAGCAATCGACTTATCGGCGGGAAGAGTCCCTTGCTCGCGGTCCGGCCGTCCCGTTCTCGCATATGAATTCTCGAGGATGAGCTCCGAGACACGGCGAGATATCTTCGTCGTCATCCTGCAGCTACAGAAGGCATCATTACGCCCAACTACATGTTACGTCCAAGGATGCATCTTTCGATGCACCTCTAGGTAAGATTTGGCGCACCCAGAATCGGATGCAAGGTTACCCCTGGCATCATCGGCGCGCTGCATAACACCCCGACCCTAAAAGTGAAAGCTTGCAGCCGTGAGCTTTGGGGAAGCCCCATTCTTAATACCCATCAGTCCCTTGATTTTTGTGAAACGGCGGAAATTTCCTGGTGTTTGGGTTCGTGATCATAACCGATGCCACCGCCAGCGGTGAATGGAAGCCACGCGAGGCGGTCTAGTGCCAGCCTCCGTCTTAACATGAAGGGGCCGCAACCGGGACAACGCCCAGCCATTCCTGTCACCGACTCGTTGGTAAGCCTTGTATGTACATGCACGGTATTTATGATAGATCGTTCCTGGGCTTGGCACAAAATGCTATGCTCTCCTCTCTTTCCCCTCCCCTCCATGCGTGAGCCATGTACGTGCACTCACATACATCAACATGCAGTAGGAGCAATGTCCAATGACATAGGTGACTCTCCAGAGACTCGCAACAGAGTGACAGATTTCACCAATTAGCGAGCCAGTTGGAAGGGTGTAGTCATGTACAATTACGTGAGAGGCAGCATCAGCACCACTTTTCGACGACGGTCTAAATCCAGCAGACTGGTCCAACTGGCTGACAGGTAATCGATATTTCTGCCCAACACTTAGCATCAGGCCAACTCACACCCCCCGAGGGAACGAGAATACGGTTTGTTTGACGCACTGGAAAAGACGTCCCGTGATTAGAGTCTCATTCATCATACGCCTGAATGAAGCCTAGCTCGGATGTAGTTACCACTGCCTTAATCGTCTAGTTGCATTCATTGATATCTGACTCCACCCATGAAGCAGTTCGGTATAGTTGCTGTTTTGACGAGCATATAACCATTATGTCATTTTGGAGAGGTTGAAACGTAGAAAAAGAAAGGAAGATTAGAGGGAATTTCTTTTTCATAGCACGTATCTAGATTTCATGCCGAATGGCCTGAGAAATAACGATAAGTAGAAAAGTTGATGACGTGCTACTACTTCAAGCATGCAAGCAATAACACTTCATGCGGGTTTCTCATTAACTTACTCACGCTGAAATCAAACATTATATGCACCTGTTTTATTTACCCGTAGATGTGTGGTTATTTACATATTCGATATCGATATCAATGCCGTTTTGATATCAGTTCTTGATGTTTTAACATCTGTAGTCTGGGAAAGAGCATTTCAAATACATACCGTGACCAAGAAAGCGAGTCTGTAATTATCTACATTCAGCTTTGCCGAGGTGTTGTATGTCAGGCCAAAACTAGCATGAGTTTCTGTCTCATGCAACCCGCCCCTTTGCAGCATTGGTTGGATGGATCACCAATGCCAATTTCACGGATCAAATGATTATAAAACCAACTTTGTATCAGCATTGATCTCTGTTTTAGGGGAAAATAAGACAATGGGACCCGAGTGTCCTCCTCAAGCGCACAAAGCTAATACACTACCAGTTTCACTCATCTACTCCGCTGGTAAAAGTTGAGCAATGCTTTCTTTCGTAACTAATTGGCCTCGTTTGAAGCATGGCGGACGAGTGAACCTTTGAACGCACAATGAGTCTGAAGGTAAGTGAACACACCTCCCTTGATAGTGTTATTGTGGTAGTTAGTTATATTATAATGCTTCTTCTTATTATTTTTATATCATAGTAAGTCGATAATATTACCTAATTATAGGTCAATAATTTATTATTTTTTAGTATTAATAACTATTATCTATTGATATCGCGTCCCGTATTGGAAAGTTGGGAGAAGACATTTTCGCAGTCCCTGTTGTTGTGACACCCACTTGCACAGCAGCGCCCTTTAGTACCTCCTCGATGACATCTAGTCACTAACTCACCCGGGATCCATCATATCAGAGAAGTCAAAGTTCATGAGTCGGTAATCACGAATATCTTTTTTTATATTCAATCCACGTTCCGCATACATTTGCTACTTGACCATGTACGGAAAGGCCAAGTATCGACAGATTTAGGGCAATTCTAGTTCTAGCTTCACAGCGTTTCTGATTCTGATAGAAGCGTATCTCCCCAGTTCCCAGAAGTCTCTAGCCTCGTTTTTTTCTATAGATATGATAATCAACACTTGAATACCAAGATAGATGGCCATATTTCCGGTTGAGGAACATGTTCGGGAAACGATTAGCATAACTATCAACTTTTGGGACCTAGAACCGTAAAATTGACGAACAAGATAACAGGCAGACTTGAGGGCTCGCTTCGAAGTTTACTAACAAGGAACACCCCTAGCTTAGTATCAACAGGGCAGGCACAATTCTTGTACTGTCTCCATCTGCTTGCAAAACTTCATTAAAAGCTACGGTGCCACGGCAGCGACCGCAAACTTCGGGCCCTCGCCAATTATATGGCAAGCGCCTTTAGTCAAATGCGCCCATTTGCTTCGAAAGAAACTACCAACCCTTGACTTCTCTTGTTGGTGCGCTATAAGTTAACAGAATCGAATAGTGCAGTCACTCTACAGCGTATCAAAGGGTTCTTGTCCGGAACTTCCAGGCAAGGGGCCCTCCAATCACCGTCCCTGTCGGCAGGAGACTATAGATAGAAGTATACATATATTTGGACAGATGTTTAAGCTTGATTTGTACCATAGTAGCATACTTTGTTATGTGGACAAGTTCTTTGCGTACTTAAAACCTACCTAGCCTATAAATAACTGTGCCACCCACCGTTGGAATTCCTCCGCTACGTTCCTTCAAGCCGCAGCCCACTGCGTGATGATCGCGGCTTGGACGGACTACGAGGTATGCCGTATTTAGTAAAGAATTCTGGCTGGTGA